AGTACAGTAACGAAGTATTTGTACTTCGTTACTTCCCATCTCTGGAACTAACCTTGTACAAGCATAAAAAATGAAGCAGCGTGTTTTTGCTGCTCCTGCTGCGTTCGGTCTGAACGTAGCATTACTGCATGTCGCCTTACAGACCCTGCTTCATCTCATAGCAGGAAGTCAGGTTGGAACAGGAAGTATTCATCCCTAAACTCGGCCAGGAACATGAAAATCACCACATTCCTCCCTCTACCAAACGTAACCATTTTCACACATTACGATCAGCGATGTGGCTGTAAAACAGGAAATATCTCAGCTCTGCATCCGGTAAAGCCATGAGAGGAAAAGAGTGAAAAACAACAAGAAGAGAGGGACGAAACCTAGAACAGATAATGGATGTCTATTCTATTAACATTTCTCTATCTGGAGAATGGGACTGTTTGATGTGTTGTCTTCTCAGTTCAGAGGGGCCCCTGCCTGTCTTTGCCTAGGGCCCCACATTTCCTAAATCCGCCCCTGATACTAATTCAGACAGAGCTTCTTTTGCTCTGAATCGTTGGTGAGTGTCGGCCTAGTGGTCAGAGCAGCGCTCTGTGCTCTGGGAAGGTTGCAAGCACCGGTTCAATCCCCACAGCCTCCACTCTAGGTCCCTGAGCAAGACCCTTAACCCCACACTGCTCCCCGGGCTCCACACAATGGCAGCCCACTGCTCTCCATGGGGAGGGGTTAAATGCAGAGAGGGAATTTCTCCAATGTGAGATTGATAGTTCTATTATTATTATTATTATTATTATTATTATATTTCTCAGTACATCGATGAATCTATCCAGCTTTTCTGTTACTATTCATATAAAGGACTCCCACAGCATCATACCGCCACTGTAGTGATTTACATGCAAGCCTTTAGGCGACCTCAATGTGAAATATTTTGGTTTTTTTTCTCTAGATTTTATGTATGAAATCATTTTGTTAGGAATATAAAAATATCCAAACAAATTTATTATAAAGAAAACATTTCCTCGCGTTTCTTTCTTTGTGTTTCTCATAAAAAAAAAAAAAATAGAGGTTTGCATGATGGCCCCTTAGCATGATGTGAAAGGTGTGTTTAAGGAAGCGGCGCCATTATAGCGGGGTGATTAAGGTCTGGTTGGTGTGTTTTGAATGATCCGTCTTTATGAACATTTTAAAAGCAAATCAAACCCTTCTGCCCATTTAACACTGCATCACTTCCAACACTGACCAACACATTCAGATCTGAATTCCCAGACATTAACTTTCTGCTTCCTTAAACATGTAAACGTCTCCTACCTGGTATAGACACTAATTTGTGAAGCTCCTTCTTCAGACGAGTAATCTCTTTACACAGCTGAATATCATCCATCCTGCACAAAAACAAAATCCACAGGTTAATGCTACACACTGTGCACTTGACTTTACATTATTAATTAGCGTCACTTCCATGGTTAGACGCATGCTGCGTACCATCGGGGGGGTGTATAGCAGAACTAGTCAGTTGAAAACTCTG